TCTGCGTTTGGGTCCACATTTCTAAGTCCACACAGTCTCCCAGCACAGACTGTGACTGCAAAGCTGTTGAAAAATAAACAGATTGGAAAGTGTGACATCTTCATATGAAGACGATAACCTTTGGTCCAGACCAGCGGTGGGCAACTCCAGGCCTCGAGGGCCAGTGTCCTTGGTCAAATACAGCTGATTTAAATGGCCAAATCATTTCCTCAACATGTCTTGAAGTCCTCCAGAGGCCTAGTAATAAACTAATCAATTAACTCAGGTGTGTTGACCCAGGGTGAGATCTAAAACCTGCAGGACACTGTTGCTCGAGGCCTGAAGTTGCCCACCCCTGGTCTAGACTCTAGAAAACACAGACAACACTTCTCACAGCAACACCAAGGCAGACCCACGACAAGTTGCTGCATTCTCATTAGCAGGATAAAAGAAAAACTGTCTGTAAGACTGAACTGAAGTGTGAGAAAACAATCCTACTTAAAGCACAGCTTGAGTTGAAATGTACCTCAAGAGTTCAGGTTCCTGTATCAGCTGTCCCCTCTCTCACAGTCACATCCTGTTACTCTACATAAACTGCTTAACAAAATACATCACTGTTAAATGTTAATGCTATTGTTTCTCTTTTAAGACCAAGAAAAAAACCCATTGAACTTATAGAGTGCTCACTTCTTTGCACGTGGTCAAAATTATGAATTCAACAAGGGGTCGAATCCTTCTTTCCCCGACTGCACATATGCAGAAAGAGTTCAATCAACTTCAAAACTTAAATTAGAAGTAATATTATTACAGAAAAGCATTTAGCATTTTTAAATAATCTTTTTTTTATTATTTTGGTAGACCATCCACCAATTCAGTTCAATTCATTTTATGTAGCATCAAATCACAACAGCAGTCACTCTAGGGTGCTTTATATTATAAAGTGAAGACGCTTCCACATTACAAGGAAACCTTCAGTCTAGTTTCTCATCCTTTGATTGCAGAGCGCTTGTTTCACCTACACTAATACTACTCAGTGTTTCATTTCCCAGCACAACACATGCATGACAATAACATGAGCCAGTCTCTTAAACTGGAATAACCTGTAAAAGAAGAGGCTTAGCTGTGAATGCTAACTGTACAACAGTTAATAATAACAGGATAATGCAAGAACAACATACTACACACACTATTTCCGTATCCCCATGTGTGTTTCTCCATGTTTTAACGTGTTTCTCACCCACTAACCTGCAACAGAGAGCAGCCAGGTGAGACACTGAGCATCCAGTGGCAGGGATCCTGCAGTTTTTACTGCCGCTCTGTCTCCACAATGCACTAATGCACCGCTGACACGCAACAGCAACAAACATTCTTTTAAGAGGTCAGGCGGGGCCACGGGAGCCCTCTAATTGGCCGACTCCTGGAAAACGATCAGTCTAACTCAAAGTCAAACAATCAATGCATGTTTCTGTAATTTACTCTGATAGTGGAGACTGGGAGACCAAACCAAGCAAAGTTAAACTTATTATAATAGCAGTTAAATGCAGAGTATCTTCAAAATCAATAAACAACATCAATACGGACTCTTTGTCTGATGACGCGTCTCTTTCATTTGTCTCATTCTCACACAGTTACAGCCTTCTTGCAAAGGACAGCAGCAACGCCTGAGTGCCTTCACCTTTGCCACAGTGACCTATGACCCACATGTGGTCAGCTGAGCAAAGGAAAAACTATCTGACACAATGTTCTGGGGCAAAAGTGTGTGTGACCATACATGAAGATATTTTCTGTCTTGTGATTGTTAAATATTGACTCATCTGTGTTTATCATGTGAACATGGTTCTCAAAAGCCTTTAAGCTTAGGACAATATTCCCTCTGTGCTCGGTGCTTTCTGTGTCAGCATGACCAGGCCAACTTCCTTCTTTAAATCCTGTCAACTACACAACAGTGGACGATCACCAATTACACACACATCACTACAGTGGGCACATACTTCCTCCATGTCTTAAA